TTCTTTTGCAAAAAGGGAAGAAGATTGTTTCCTGCCAGTTCTGCTTCTGAAAAGGAGAATAATGTATATATTAAAAAAACCAAAAAACAAAAAAAACACACAAAACAAAACCTTCTCATGAGCATTGTCCATGTAGTGGAACTATCTTCTCTTTTTACTTACGACCACTGTAGGTCTCTCATCATTGAGGGATGAATGATTGTATATATGTATGTATGTAATTACTAATATTTAATTTTTATGTGTATATCCCACCTTCCCCCAAGGATCTGAAGACAGCCAACATGGTTCTCCCTCGATTTTATACTCACAACAACCCTGCAAGGTAGGTTAAGGTAAGATATATACTGGCTGGCCCCAAATCACCCAGTAAGCTTCATGGCTCTTTGAGAATTTGAGTCCAGGTCTCCCCAATCCTAGCACAACATTCACCAATGCACCAAAGGTCATTAGTGAGCCATCAATCAAGGGCATAGTTGGTTGCAATATACAGCAGCATGGTGTGGGAGAAATGTTCCTTGATCTGAACTTAATATTTGATATTTTTGCTCAATGTGGGGGGTGATTTATTGTGGCATATTAAATTATGTGCACCAGGCCAAGAAATAAGTCTTTTGCTGCATTTGCTTTGATGCGAAATTTGCTAAATTTCTCATGCCAACAAGGACAGTGGTAAATTCAAGATGCTCATGTGGATTTTGAGAAAGGAAAGTGGACACTCCAGAAACCAGCACTCATTAATACAGTCAAGAGTTTCCAAGATGCATGCATATTCCTGCCTGCCTCTAAAAGTTTCCCATGCATTTCAGTGGATGGAAGTTAAATCAGCATGTGCATTCCTTTGTGGGTGTTGTTCAACTCTCTCTAGTATAGTGATTTATTCCACTGTTCAGACAGGATTTCAGAAGTTATTGATCTTCCGATGCTTGAAGCAGAAATCCTAAACACGCTTAATTGGGAGTAACCCCAGTTGGACTCAGAATGACTTACTTCCAAGTAAACATGTATTAGTCCATGTGTTGTTTAAGGGATGAATTGAAAAAAATAGAATGTTTTAAATGTTTGAACCCAGATTCCCAAAGTCTGAGTAATTATTTCAGATTTGCGAGACTGCAGAAGAGATCAGCTTCAGAGTTCCATTACTTTAATATGCTGCTCCACAACTTCTACTTCAAAGCCATTTACAAACATGAATTAATTAACTACTATCAGTGCCAAGGCAATATTATATGCAATTATGGCATACTCCCTGCTCCACCTACTTGAATCCAAGTGACTGAACATGCCCTTAATTCCTGATCTGTTCTCTTTCCCAGTGCTGTTCTTTTTAGGAGTTGAGCCTGTCTCTTTGAAGTCAGGCAGGGTATTGCTGTGAACAGGGCTGAGTATTCAAGCGCATTATACTATTAGTCATCTTTGTGCCATTGTAGTGTGCAGTTGTGTCAGCATTTTGGACTATGCATTTTATTCCTGCGCCAAAACTCCCACTGAAGGAGATTAAATCTTTCCTTTTATTACATTTATTTCCAAAGTTCTGTAACTTTGCAGTCGAAATCCTGGCAGATGGCGTCTCCAAGCCTAAACACCATTATATGGTTAGAAATCCCACAGAAATCAACAACTCAAACAGGATGTGTATCCATGTAATTGCATTCATGATTCAGGCTTAAATATCTAGGTACCTGGTATCTGTCTTCAAGTAATGTTTCTTTTTTAAAAAGTTGATGCTTAAATCCAAGTTAAGTCATTGCATTCATGAATGTTAATAGCTTCTTTGTTTTGTTTTTTAATTAAGAAAGGTAATTGTATTTCAAGGATACCTGCAGAATTATGGGCCAAATCCCGAATTCCAGAAATAAATTTGCCAACAATTTTCAAATTTGTTTTTCTTCCAAGTTTAGGTAACAAGTCCATATATGTGACACTTGTTTCTAATTATGTAGAAAGCCAGCACCATCCCTTTGAGCTAATGGATGTAGCAAATAGTCAGCTTTGGAAACCTAGGATGACTTTTATTCAGAGTGAATGGGAAGAATCCATATTATTGCTTAATAGATAAATTGTACTTTTCTTGGGCTGCAGTATAGGGAATATGCAGGGTCCCTAAGGATAATTGGTTCCTTAAACAAATTGGCCTCTGATCCCATTCCAGAAGTTCAGCTCACAATAGGAAGGTTTGTGGTGGCATCATTAAATAACCCATTTTTTTGGTGCATGACACACCACCCATGTGCCAAGTGATCTTGTAACTGAGCTCTGAGCGTGCACTAGACTGTAGCCATTCAGGTCAACATCCAGACTATCTTTCAAAAGGCTTAAACATGCTGAACTCTTAATACAGTGGTACCTCAGGTTAAGTACTTAATTCGTTCCGGAGGTCCGTTCTTAACCTGAAACTGTTCTTAACCTGAAGCACCACTTTTGCTAATGGGGCCTCCTGCTGCTGCCGCACCGTCAGAGCACGATTTCTGTTCTCATCCTGAAGCAAAGTTCTTAACCTGAAGCACTATTTCTGGGTCAGCGGAATCTGTAACCTGAAGCGTATGTAACCTGAAGTGTATGTAACCCGAGGTACCACTGTACTGGATTGTCATCACAAACCTGTGTGCAATGCCTCATCCTGGATAAGATTACTTAGACCTCTCAGTTTGCTGTGACACTTCATTAAAAATGCATACAAGTAATCTAGCTTTTTATTTTAATAATTGGAAGGGAAAATGAAGGTGTCTGGGTGGAACAATGAACAAGAGAATTGGCCAAGTGGAGATGGCATAAACTAGTTTTCATCAGGCAGGTGGTAAAGGAAAAATGCACTGCCTCCATGAAGCAAGCCTGTACAAGTACAATGAACACAGCCCAAACAGAAAAATCAGTATTTTGCAGTGAGTACTCTTTGGATCAAGCAGGTGTTGAAAATTCAGATCAGATGGGGAAATATATACTGACTCCCTCCCAGACCAGAACATTTGTTTCAAAATAAAATTGCTAGTTTTAACTTTTGATTTTTTTTCTGTTCTTCTGTTATCTAGAATATTAGCACTGGTTCACATGCATATCATAATAGACATTGTGTGTGTGTGTGTGTGTGTGTGTGTGTGTGTGTGTGTGTGAGAGAGAGAGAGAGAGAGAGATTCTGTGGTTTGGGAAACTCCACATTATGAAGAAATTTCTTTTACTTCTGCCTGTGAAGTCCCCTTAGTGATCATGCTCTCAAACAAAGATTTGGATATGCCGAAGAGCTTGGGAAATGCCGGTAAGATTACTGGCCTTTCTCCCCTCCACACCCAGGTAATGCAAAGTTACAAACTTCAAAGGAAAACCCCATTCACATTAAAAGACCCACACCCCATTGGGTTCATTGGAGTAGTTGCACAGTTATTTGGATGAAGGCCTCTACAGATGACACCTGTGTTTATAGACATTTTCTCAGCTTTGTCAAAAGACGGCTAAAAACAGACCTGTTTCATATGCTGAAAGAGACACTTTTCCCAAATAAATGTCAGAGGGCACACCTAACATATAAATCTCTGTACTTAGACCCCAGCCTTAAGAAATGCATGCTATTTAATTATTGGGACTTGGTGTACAGATAATAATGAAAAAGATGTATCAATGGCCCAGTCTAATTTTTAAGAGCAAGCAACATTCCAGGCTTTGAAGAGACCTGAATGTTGCACCAAACATGTAGGAACCGATTCATTGCTTTGCTTTTTGCCAACCCTTAAGTTATTCACTTGGCAGCTGACTTCATTGATTAGTTCTAATTTATCAAGTGTGAAATTGTTAATTGGGCATTGCTTCTTTCCTTTGAGCAATGAACTGCAGAGTTTCGCTCTGCCACATCATCTTAGAAAAATTTGATACATTACCAGTAGGAAAGGTGGTGGTGGGGGGAATGTGCAAATTTACATTTGGTCTGAAGAAATCCTATTTAAGAACAGATTGCAAAGAATACTGTAGCATTCTTAAGATTATACGGTCACTTGAAACTAGTGTCATTTTTGTGCCACAACTCTTCATGAACACCTCCATCATTCACTTGGAATGGCAATGGTGCCCATCTGAGAGGTGCCGGAACTGAGTTCCAGCAAGTTCCAGCTGAACCCCCCCCCCCCGCTTGCAACCATTCTAAGTGCAAGAAAAAGCAATACAAATTACGATAAATGGAGTTACATGACAATATGGACTATGCAGCAAGGCCTCCAAGGCCACCAAGTTCTGTCTCTACAATCTCTCAACATTTGATTGCTTCAACATGCCTAAATGTCGTTTCTTCCACAGATAGCACTTTCCCGTGTATAAGAAAAACAAACGCAGCACAAAGCTCTTACATAAAGAAGTACCATGCTGATGAATTTTCCTGTTTGCACATGTATCTAGAAGCAGGTTTTCAGTGACAGACTGGAGAAATCTAACTCCGAGGGATTTGAGCATCAAATCCTAATAATAAACAGCAAACTATACAATCTTCATGCAGTACAGGAAAAACAATATACGCCTGGATAAAGATTGAAAGAGTTTGTTCAAATGTTTCCACTTTTTTGCTAGAAAGCATACTAGCAAAAACAGATAACAAGGGATTGCTCATTATATAGAGTGGCTTTCAACTAAGTCATACTTGAACTAGACCCTTGACTAACACATCCATTGATTACAATGTGCAGTGAGCCCTCTCCCAGTAGTATCTGGCTCTCTGTTTTGGATATTAAACATCTAAATAAATGGATTTAATTATATTTAGAGTAGATGGGTGGTTTTGTTCCTGGGCAATCCCATGATCGTTTGCTCAGACGTAAGCTCGGTCAATTTCTATGGGATTTACTCCCTAGCAAGTTAATAAGAGACTTTTAACAAAAGTCTTCCTCCCCCCTTCCCCAGTCTTCACTTCCGATTTACAATGCAGGAATAACCAAAGCACAGAGAATTACCAGCATCGCCAGCACAAGAACTTGAAAAGTAACACTGGGTTTGAAAACAATTCTCTTAAAATCCATTCTTACCGTTAAAATGAAGAGCACAGCAGCTGCTCTGTAAGTAAGCCAATCCATTGCATCTGTTGTCTCTTAGGTCCAAGAAAGGGACGATAACACTCCAGGTGGCTGTGCCCTTCCCCCCCACCCCTTGTGACAGTGCCTGTAAAAAGACACTGCGTAGATGTTCTTTCACCCAGGCTTTGGAGGAGTCTCTGACTTCCTCAGATCAGAGCACTGAAGATGCTGCTTAACCAAGTGTGTTCCTCCACCCAAAACCTTTGGGCAGGTCTTGAAATGCTTGACAACATCATTATTGCTCCAGGGGGAAAGCCAAAGACACACCTTGATACTTTTTGCGATGAAACACTTTGCTGGGCACCAAGGAGAGCATTATAGAGAGAAACAAGACAGGCTGTACTGGGGAACTACTGAATGAAAGTCAGAATTACCCACTACCACTACACAAAAAACTGTACTTGTAAATTTTGGGCAGGTCCACACAACGGCAGGATCCCAAGTTAAATCCATAGTTTCACAAACCAATTTGATATTGCTGCTCTAAGTCCTAGGAGCCCACTTCCTGTGGGCATTTGGAGGTCATGTTTCCACCTCCCTCCAATAATATTCTTATATGGGTTCCTCCAGCCATTGGTAAATGATGGAACTCTGGAGAAGCAGAGGGAAGGAACAAACACAAACTTTGGATTTGTCCCCTTTCCTTGAGATCATATAGATCTTTCTGGTGCCAGCTTAACTGAAGAGAATTCCAATAGCAGTCTTCTGCTTACTTCCAGTTTTGAGAAGCAATGTGAATTAAAGTCACCATATAAATAAAGCAAAGTTTAAAAATAATAATCCCCCATGTTCTCATAGTAGCTCCCCCGCCTTCAGATTTCCCCATTCATTTTAATGCCTGAGGACTCAATATACAAAGCTGATCCTCCATTGAAGTCCTTGGAGTTATGTAAGCACCGTAGGCCAGGTGCTCACAGTATATAGCTCATTGGGAATAAATGTGTCTATTTTGTTTCTTATTGTATTTCTTATCTAGTTCCCTAGATCAGCTTGATATTCTTTGAAAAGAACAGTGTTTTTAAAATGTATTGAAAAGCTTATTTGATTGAGTAATCTCACACACAACAAACAGGTGTGACAAGCAGAAGTCTATCCTTGACCAGTTAAACAGGGAGCAATGCAACAACTTTACTGTCTTACTGTCTTTACTGTCTTACTGATTTGTGGGATACAAATGGAGGCATGTGGCGTAACTCAGTTTGGACAGAGTGTGGATGGCCAGAAAAGTGATGGAGATTGACTGAAGGCTTTCACTCTTCCTAGTACAGTGGTACCTCTGGTTACGTACTTAATTAGTTCCGGAGGTCTGTTCTTAACCTGAAACTGTTCTTAATCTGAAGCACCACTTTAGCTAATGGGGCCTCCAGCTGCCGCTGGATGCACGATTTCTGTTCTCATCCTGAAGCAAAGTTCTTAACCTGAGGTAATATATCTGGGTTAGTGGAGTCTGTAACCTGAAGCGTATGTAACCTGAAGCGTATGTAACCCAAGGTACCACTGTATTCTTCTTGGGACTGATTTTTACTCTGGTCTCTTTCATTTTTTTAAAAAAGAAACTGAAGGGTATGGCTCCAAAAGTCACAGCAGAATCAGTACTGTGTGAGAAGATCTGATGTCATGCCCTGTCACTTCTCTGTATCAGCAATCTCGCAGCTGCATTCATCCTGAGGACTGTGTTACCTCTTGGGCAAGCTTTTGGGGCCGACATGGCAGTTGCGGGCAGGGTCAGAGGCAAAAGAGGGCAGAACAATGAATGTGACTCTTGCATCATAGCACCACAGTAGGTTATGGACAAGCTGGATATTTCTATGTTAACTACATCTCTTCATCCTCTGTGCAGGCCCTAATTGGAGCAGAAGCAATTTTTGGCCCCAACTGCTGTGAAACTGAAGTTGTGGGTGTTGCTTTGTGTCCAGGAGCACTGACCTGTAATGGATCAAGCCAGCCTCTTGCTGCATTGTGTAGAATTCCCATTTGCTTTATTTGGCTATGGTGCCACTTCAAAGGGTCATGGTTTCCCACAAAGAATACCTAAGGAATTCTGGAAATCATAGTTCTGTGAGAGGAATAAGGGTTTCCTAGCAACCCTCAGCACCCTTAACAAACTACAGCACCTATAATTATTTGGGGATGACTATTTAAAGTGTTGTCGTAGTGAGATAAAATGCATGGTGTGATGGTGGCCCCATTCTCACTACGATTGCTGTGGTGAATAGCAAAGAATGGAGGGCATACTTGAATGAGAATCTGGGCAGCCATGGATAAAGTCCTTGGCATAAAGTGGGTGAAGAATCTTACCTTCTGAGAATCTTTCTTTCTGGGAGCCACAAGCCTGGGTGCCCACCTATCAAGAATATCCAACACTGTCAGAGGGACTTTCGGGGACCTTTGCCACTATATGATTCTATGAAACTAAGTTGAACAAACAATATTCTCCCACTCAAAGGCAGAAGTGGACGAGTGCAGAAAATCCCCAGGAGCGACAAATAGGCAGCCAAGTCTTACCAAATGCACGAGATACTAAAAAAGTGACAAAAAAAAAATCATTCCTGCTTTTAATTTTACTGAGGACAAACATCTGACACTGGGTTGGTTGTTAACACATCCTATATACATATTTTTATATTTGGAAGAAAATGGTACAAACCCAGGGTATTATATTCAGGGAAGGTATTGTATGTTTCAAAAGCAAGGGTTTATAATTCAGTTGTTGGTTGGCATCCGTCTGTCTTGGGAGACAATGGAGGAGTGTGCCTTTGGGGGTGAAGTCAATCTGCTGGAAGGTTACAGCGCCTGCTGTGGCTGTAGAGACCGATATGGGAGATGATCGATACGTCATTCCAAAGGGCTTAAATTTTAACTTATCATGAATTTAACTTATCACGAATCATGACCCGAGCACGCGCAGACGCGGGTTGCGTTCGCTTCAAGATGTAAACGGGGCTCCGGAACGGATCCCGTTTGCATCCAGAGGTACCACTGTACTCGTAGAGATACTTTTCTCTTTTTTGAATGAAGGAATATTTGGGTGGAACTTTGGATTTGAGAAATCCTGTATTGCACTTGGATATGCTTTTGGTACTGCACACATTAGGTTAAAGCTATATTTAAAGAAAGGGACGCGGGTGGCGCTGTGGGTTAAACCACAGAGCCTAGGACTTGCTGATCAGAAGGTCAGTGGTTTGAGTCCCCGCAATGGGGTGAGCTCCCGTTGCTCGGTCCCCGCTCCTGCCAACCTAGCAGTTCGAAAGCACATCAAAGTGCAAATAGGTACTGCTCCAGTGGGAAGGTAAACGGCATTTCCGTGCGCTGCTCTGGTTCGCCAGAAGTGGCTTAGTCATGCTGGCCACATGACCTGGAAGCTGTACGCCAGCTCTCTCGGCCAATAAAGCGAGATGAGCGCCGCAACCCCAGAGTCGGTCATGACTGGACCTAATGGTCAGGTGTCTCTTTACCCTTTACCTTTATATTTAAAGAAACAGACACTTGGTGGAATAAAAATGTCATATGTATATTTGATGTTTGGAAATTTCTATATAATTGCATAGAGAGTTGTGTGAGCTGAATTTGGTAGGCTTCATTTCCTCAGAATATGGAACTACACCTGCAAATTTCAAATTTCATCCACTTCTGTTAACGTTTTTGTGTGTGTGTATGTGTGTATAGCCATTTGAACCTTTTCCCATATAAACCAATGCAAATATGTAAGAAGCCTTGACTGTTCAGATGTGAGATTCTGATTTAGACAAAGCAAGTGTCTTCTGCAGTGGTCCTAGCCAAATCAACCCACTTTCTGAAGCATCAAAGCAGAATCCAAACTGAGTCATGTCTTCAGCGTATACCCCTAGTTAAAATTTGTGTTGATGAAAGTAACCTACACATCTCAAAGTAGCTTGGTTCCTATCGCAGTCCTTATATCTTATTGCAGCTTTTGAGATCACCTAGTATCCTCCTGAGTCTATTTTGCCAATCTAAAGAGGAAGGAAAGCAAGAGAAATCCTAAGGAGCCAGTGCAAGAACAGATGTTGTTTGGCTTTACCTTCTATCAGCCCTAGCCAGCATGCCCAGTGGTTTGGAATAACGGCAGAGTCCAGAAACCCCTGGAGGGCCAGATGTTAGCCAGGCTTCCTCAAACTCGGCTCTCCAGATGTTTTGAGACTACAATTCCCATCATCCCTGACCACTGGTTCTGCTAGCTGGGGGTCATGGGAGTAGTAGGCCAAAAACATCTGGAGGGCTGAGTTTGAGGGAGCCTGGTGTAGACAGTGCTGAGTTAGCAGGACCAAAAGTCTGGCTTGGTGTTAGGCAACTTCCTATGTTCTTTCCTAATCATTTCTGATTTATCCAACGAATCTTCCATTCTCTTTAATGTCCTGTCACTATCTCATCCAGTTTCCAGTGTTCAGTTCCTCAGTATCTTACCAGTCTTTAAAATATCCTTCTTCAGTTATTTCCCCCTCTTTACACATGTAGGCCTTTTTAATGCAACTCTATGTGTTAGGCTAGGCAACATTCATTCCCAAACCATCCAAATATTTCTTGAGTATTCATCGGCTGAATTCCTCTAGTGCAGGTGTAGTTAACCTGTATTTGATGGGCCAATGATCAAGGATGATAGGAACTACAGTCCAACAACATCTGTAATGCCATAGTTTAGCCACCTCTAGTTGCTATGCCTCTAGTTCCCCAGGTCTCACTCTTCATAAAGAATTTTGCCGTACAGCATGGTAAAATCTACTCATGCATTATTCTTTATTTTTACAGTCTCCCTTGACAAACTGTAACATTTCTTCTGTCTTCATACTCTTGCTGTATATTTCAGTATTAATTCTTTTAAATGATCTCCTTCCCTTTGCCTGCAGTCTCTCTTAAGATCTGGGCTCATTCCTTATAGATGAATGTCTCTGATCAATTTAGAATGAATCATAACTCAGCTCTGCTGAAATCAGTGGGGCCAGTTAAGCCTCCTCAATGGGCTTTCTTCTTCTCATTTTGACCTTCCTAACTTTGCCTCACTCATTACAGGGAGGATAATTTATCTTGCAAGGCTGACCACACCTTCAGTCTCTCCATCTCTCCCCTTTACCTCCAGCACAGACTTGTACATTTGTTCATGGGTATGTCCTTGCTACCTTTCTTTCATTTGCTCCAAGACTTTCATTCTCTACAATTCCCTAACCACAGCAATGTCTTTAAAATGGCCTTTTCCTTTCCAGACTTCAAAGTTTTGCAGACTTTTTTTTTTGCAACTCCCTCTTTATTTCACAGAGCTCCTGCCAACGACAATTTTATTATATATACAATTCTACTTTATTATCTTTGCAGAACTCTATACAATTGCAACTGACGCACTTGGCAAGGTAATAACGCAGCCAGGCTATCCTAGGTTGACATAACTCCCCTCAGGGCAATTTGACCATCTACATAGGCTAGCCTGAGCCTTCTAGGACTTCACTTCTCATCAGCCCAAGCCAGAATGGCCAATAGTCAGGAATGATTGAAGCTGGAGAGCTGCAGCCTCCCCATTCCTAAAGGTAAAGGTAAAGGTACCCCTGCCCGTACGGGCCAGTCTTGACAGACTCTGGGGTTGTGCGCTCATCTCACTCTATAGGCCGGGAGCCAGCGCTGTCCACAGACACTTCTGGGTCACGTGTCCAGCGTGACGAAGCTGCAGCTGGCGAGCCAGCACCAGCGCAGCACACAGAACGCCGTTTACCTTCCCGCTGGTAAGCGGTCCCTATTTATCTACTTGCACCCGGGGGTGCTTTCGAACTGCTAGGTTGGCAGGCGCT